GAGAGCAGGGCCCCGCCCAGAGCACTCTGTGCCCTCCTGCCTATTCCAACCTCCCAGAGCTTCTGGATTTCCTCTGCTGCCCAACTTTTCTGTTCTCTCTCCTCACTGCAGTTTCAGGAATTGTGAAGGAACTGGACCAACCATTTCTGAGGCGTGCTCTCTACGTTTCACACTGTATAATGCCTGCCTTCTTAAGGGCCCTCCGTCTGAGGTGGCAGCCAAAGGCAGCACTGGCTGAGCCAGAGGCTCATCTGCCTAGACTCCCAGGTGCCTCCCTGGTCCCCAGAGCTCAGGAGCAGAGGGCAGTGCTCTGCTGCCACCCTGCTGAGTCCTCCAAGGTGCCAGCTGCAAAGCTCTTTCAAGGGAGTGTTTCCTGAAGCTAGGTTCTGAGGGCCACCCCCTGAGAACACAACTCTGCCCCCTTCCCTCCATTCATCCCACAAAGGGGGCTGGTGTCTACCAAGCCCCTGCCCCCAGAGGCTCCCTATAGCCTGGCAGAGGCAAGAAGAAGCAGAGGCAAGCATAAGTTGGAGAAGAGGGGGTAAAAAGGAAAGTCCTACTTCAGTAAAGGGCAAGACAACTTTCTAGAAAAGGCAGTGTTTAAATATTAATGAATAAATGGGAACTAGCTGGGGAAAGGCAATGGCGATGGGGAGAAATGAGGTGCAGGTGCAAAGGTCCCAAGGTGAGAAGTGCAGGGCGTGTGGAAAACAATGTGGGTGGATCTCCTGGGCGCAAAAGGCCTTGTGTATTTAAGTTTTGGGGTTTGACTGTTAATCCAAGTCAAGGCATAGAAAGGTCTTCAGGGGTGGTATGGGTGGCATCTATGCTTTGGAAGGGCATTTTGGCAATAGGTTGGAAGGCAGACTGCAAGGGGTAATGCATATCAGGAAAAACAGAAGAGTATTGCACTGAAGACAGAATGGTGTCCTGAACTGAGGCAGAGGGAAATAAAAGCATAATTTGGAAATGGCTTGGAAACTGAAGAGAAAGGACTTTGGTGATAAATGGAAGAAGCACAGCACCAGGGGAGCTGGAGTGAGACTCTACTGTGGATCTTGGGCAAGCTACACTTGTGTCTCAGCTTCCTCATTTATAAACCAGGAATGACAGTCATTTGCACCTGTCTCATAGTGTTGGTGGAGGACTAAAGGAGTTAATAGTATGTGAAGGCTTAGGGTACAGCCTAGTACATCATTTTACCCAGGAAATGTTATCTATGATTATGGAGCTCAGAAAAAAAGAAGAAAGGAATGACTAAGTTCACTCCCAGGATTCTGGTTTGGGCAACTATGTATGCAGTTCAGTTCTCAAAGTGTGTTCTGTGGACATCAAGAGGTCCCAATGACCCTTCCACATAGAATGTGAAGTCAAAACTATGTTATAGTAAAAATGTATTTAATAAAATAGTTTTTAAAACTGCATCTCACCTGATTCTAATTATAAAAATCGGCCAGGTGCAGTGGCTCATGCCTGTAATCCCCGCACTTTGGGAGGCCAAAGCAGAAGGACGACGATTTGAGGTCTGGAGTTTGAGACCAGCCTGACCAACATGGTGAAACTCATCTCTACTAAAATACAAAGATTTGTTTTATTTTGCATATGTTTTAGATAAGCATGATGGATAAGCAAATTTCATTAAATGGAAAGAAAAATTTTTATTCCTTTCTCATTATGTGAGAAATACTGATTATCATTAAGACCATTTTTGCTTAGCTTCAAATGAGTCTCATGACAATAAAAATGTATGAAAAATAACTTGGTGACAAGTTTTGAACAATTTGAACAACAAGATAAAGTATTGAGTTATAATTCAAATTATAAAATGAGTATCCGTAAGTACACACTGATAGGAATAAATGACTAAGTTAATGATTGAAGAAGAGACAAATCTCCAGTGCAGAAGAAATTAAAATAATACAGATAATTCATCCTAAAAAAGATCACTCCTCACTCCTTAGGTGTGGGCTGCACACAGTGACTTCCTTCCAAAGAGCACAGTATGGAAAGGGAGGAAAAAGAGTAATTTTACAATGGAGAAACTTGACAAACATTACCTCAACCAGGTGATCAAGATCAACATCAACAATAATAAATCATGATGTCGGTATCAACTTTCTTTTTTTTTTTTTTGAGACAGTTTCACTCTGTCCCCCAGGCTGGAGTGCAGTGGCACAGTCTCGCCTCACTGCAACCTCCGCCTTCCAGGTTCAAACGATTCTCCTGCTTCAGCCTCACGAGTAGATGGGATTACAGCCATGTGTCACCATACCCAGATAATTTTTATGTTTTTAGTAGAAACAGGATTTCACTATGTTGGCCAGGCTGGTCTCGAACTCCTGACCTCATGATCCACCCACCTCAGCCTCCCAAAATGCTAGGATTACAAGTGTGAGCCACTGTGCCTGGCTAGTATGAGCTCTTAATATGATGTGAGGAAAATGGTACTTTACCACTATGATCTTCCTCCCCAAACCCATAACCCCAGTCAACTCTTCTACTAGAATTCATCTGATGTTTTTCTCATGGTTAGCCTACAAAATACTTGACCAGCACTCCTCAAAACTGTGAAGGTCATCAAAACAAGAAAAGTCTGAGAAACTGCCATGGCCAAGAGGAACCTAAGACATGACATTTAAATGTGATGGGTATCCTGGATGAGATCCTAGATCAGTAAGGAGGTAAAAACTAAAGACACAGGAATAAAGTATGGACTTTAGTTAATAATAACACATCGACATTGATTCATTAATGGTAAACATATCATAGGGTAATAAATGTGCCCTACCATATGATGTCAATAACAAGGCAAACTGTTCATGTGTGGCAGGTGGGAAGGGGGAGTGGGAATATGGAAGTCCTGTTCTACCTGTTCATTTTTTCTTTAAATCTAAAACTGTTCTTAAAGTCTATTAATGTTTTTAAAAGCCCAGTACTTATTGGGAATAATTCCACCATCGATCAATCATCCATCATTGTAACCTAGAGACTTAAAGTTCTATAATGGGATATCCTACACATAATTCAAATCAGCATTTACCCAAGTCCTACTATATATGCCTTTGAACTGCTGAATACTGGCTACAAAATGAACAAAACAATTTCGAAGGCTTAGTTCGAAATAAAAGACATCTAAATAGGTAAATTTTTGACCTGTAAGATGAACATAACTGCAGCACAGAGAAAAGGATCTGGGAAGCTTCAACAGAGGAGATACATCAAAGAAAGGGCACAGAATAAAGAAATGGGCAGCCTAAGCCTGAATTTTTGTTGTTTTGTTTTTTTAAGCCTGTGCCTCCAAGAACCTTCTGGGGTTTTATCCTCCTGAAAATGAATGTCAGAGCAATCAAAATAGTTACCCCAAAGAAGCATTATAGAGGCCAATAGTTTATCTGCCGTGGTGTTTTAACTTTACATGTACAATAGAGGAAAAACAGGTGAATTTTAAAACTGGGATGAGTAGGAAAAGAGCAAGCTAAAAGCAAACATGCTTGCCCCTCCAACTTTTTTTTTCTTTTAAGAGACCCACTTGTCTGCTGACCAGGTACCTGTAATACAGGAGAATTCACCCTATTCCTTTCTACACAATGATGTCTTGGAATTTTCTAATTTCTCCTTTTCTATGATTGCATTCTGTTCATGTAACAGTCAAGGGATGACAAAGGACATTTGTAAGAGCAGTGTCTTTTAAAATTAATTTACTAGTTAGGACTGAGTATACATTCATCATTCAAAGATGAATCCCACAAACGTTACTCGACATCTTGGTTTTCAGTAATATTTTATCAAATTCAACCACGAGGGCCAACAGTCCTGCTTAAGATCAGGTGACGCCTGTTGGGCGATCCCCGATCCCTCTTCTTGCCATCATGCTGTTAGACCTTTCAGCTATATCGGTAACAGCGTTTCAAGTAACTGCAAAAGGAAGGCAACTTCTGCTCCGCGAGAGCCATCCTAAGCGTTAGAAATGGCAGGAAGTTTCTTGGGACTGACAAGGCATGGGCTTCTCCTGATGCTGTCACCTTGGGCAAGGCTATTACAGGTAAATTAGGGGGAGAAACAGTTACTTTGCTGGCGTTACGAGACTAACAATCGAAAAAGTGTGGAAAAGGACTTCGCCCTCCCCAAAGCGCCCATCCGCGGCGGCTTTTTCCCGGGCCTCAGGCGCGCTCGAGCCGCGCAGCACAAAAGCCTGGCGGGAGCCGGGTGCGCCTGGCGCCGCCTCCCGGTGCATCTCGGGAAAGGGTCCCGCCCGCGCGGCAGCGTCTCCCTGGCGCGGCCCGCTTGCCCGCCTGCCTGCTCGCCCAGTGCCAGGGCAGACGCGGCCCGCACGAGCAGCCGCGGGTTCCGAGAGACATTCGCACGGCTCCTGCACCTCGGGGGTCTTTGTTTCCGGAGCTGTTTCCCGCCTCGCTGGTCCCGCCCCAAAACTTGTTTGCTGAGTACCAGCCTAAAGTCTCACTTGACGATGGGCAGTATTGGGGTGCGCTGGTTGGGCCGGGGGGCGTTCAGAGGCAGCGAAGGGAACCCTAAGCTTAAACACCAGGAGAAGGAAAAGGAAGAGCGTCAGGCCCTCCTCCTCCCATTAGCGCTCGGGCGCGGACTGCGCCCTCCCGCGCTGGCGGCTCGCGCGGGCTCCGCAAGGCGCGCTGGCGGCAGTGGCGGGGCGGGGCGCGGCAGGCAGGCCCGGGCAGGCACGTGGTGGCGACCGTTCTTCTCATCAGGCCAGGTCCCGTGGGACCACCGTGCTGACGGGGAGGGGGAATGCCGTTCCCGGGCCCCGCTAGGGAGACGGGTTTTACCCTTGGGGACCCCGGAATTGGAGGCGGGGAAGAGAAGGCGCAAGGGAGGGCGCGGCGTGGCGCGAGGGTTTCCAGCGCGGGGACTGTGGGGTGGCAGCTAGAGGCCATTGCAGGAGCAGGGCAGCGGGTTAGGGGAGCGACCCATCCATGGGGAGGGAAACCCGGTCAGGGGAGCTGGAAAGCAGGGTTGATACGTACCTGGGTGGGCGGACTGGAGATGCCTTACCTGGGCGTGCAGCGCAGGACTGGCGGAGCCAGCTCCGGGTGGTCGCCGGGCCGGGACGAGCTAGCAGAGCCGCACAAGGCTCGGCGCGCGGTGGAGCGGTGTTTACATTCTGCAGCAGCTCCACGTTGTGCGGCCGCCCGTGCCTCCCATTGGCCAGCTCGTCAGTCAACGCTTCGCTCCTCCCCCAGGGGCGGGCCCTGAGGTCCCCGCGTAGCTCAGGGAAGACCCGGGTTCTCTCAGGCCTTGGCGGGACGGCCAGGGTGCGCCCCAGGACTGTCACTCCCCAGCCACCCTATGCTTACCTGAGTCGCGTCCTCCTGTCATGCGCCCGGGCAGAGCCGCAGCCTGACAGCCCCGAAATCCAGGAGTTGCAGTGGGATAGGGCAAGAGCAAACTGGCGGGAGATGCAGGAGCTGGGCGGCGGGGAGGCCATCAGCGGAAAAGGAGCCTCTGAGAGTCTCCCAGTCGCCGCCGGCCGCGCTATGGGGCGTGGTGGACGGGGACCGAAAGCCTGGGAGAGTCTACCCCACGGCCGCCCCGGGTGGCGGGTGCTTAGCGAGGACAGGGCGCGACGCACGGGCGCGCGGACAGACCGGCGGGCGGGAGAGGGGAGTGCGCTGTCCGGAGGTGTCAGTGTGAGGCGCATGCGTGCGGGGCGGGCCCGGCCCGGCCTATATATTGGGTTGGCGCCGGCGCCAGCTGAGCTGAGCGGTAGCTGGTTTGGCGGTGAGGAGCTGCTGCGCGTAAGGGGGATGCGGGAGGAAAGAAAGCCCAGTTGGGCCGATCCCTTACCGCAGGCGGGAGCCTCAGGGAGGAAATACGGAAGGGCTGAAAACTAGGCGACTGGAGGTCATGGGTCCCCGCGTTCCGTCCCTGTCAGGACCCTTGGCAGGGGACCGGGAAGCGGCGGGGCATGAAGAGCCGCCCCTCATTCTAGGGGCTTCTCTATCCCACCCTCATTTGGGGACCTATCTCGTGGGAGAGAGGATGGGAGGCAGGGTTCCCTCCATGGGGAGAAAAGTTCCCCGCCAGGCCAGTCTCCCCTTTCTTTAGCTCCTTTCCCTGCCCCCCGCCTCCCATCAGGAGTTGGGGTCCCGGCGCCCCTCCGAGCGGCGGTAGGGGGTCGGGACCGGGAAGGAGGGAAAGGAGACTGGAGGCCGTGACACCAGTCAGTTCCTCCGCCCCCTGCTTCCCCGCCACTGCCGCTCTCCGAATTGGCGCGGAACCGGCTTCTCCACAGCCTTTCGCCTCCACAACCCCCTCTCCGCGCTCGTCCAGGACAGGAGGCGGGACGTGGGGGCGCTGCCCAAGCCCGAATCTCGGTGTACGGGGGAGAGGGTGGAAGACCCAGAAAAACCCGTTTGGGGAAGAGGTGCTTCTGTGCGCATTCAAGGTGCCGGGAGTGCTTGGTAAATCTTTGGACACCCGCGTCCCGGCTGTACATTCAGTTGAGGAGATGCAGGCGTGTATCCAAAGTGAATTACCATGAGCTAGCTAACAGCACAGAAGACGGCAGGGTCACACGGCCCAGGCCCTCTTCTGAGGGACTGAGCTAAAACCTCCGAATCCGCGACTTACTGCCACCTGGAGAATGTGAATGACAATGTACTTGATTGCGGCTTTTCCTCTCCCCCCTTCAGAGGTTTTATACACCTGAAAGAAGAGAATGTCAAGACGAAGGTAACATTATCTGTCTTAGAGACATGTTTCAATTCGTTGCTGCCTTTGACTAATTACACTTCCTTTTTAAAAATTCACCACAGTAGCCGTTTACAGGCTAAGCAGCAGCCCCAGCCCAGCCAGACGGAATCTCCCCAAGAAGCCCAAATAATCCAGGCCAAGAAGAGGAAAACAACCCAGGTGATTTAAGGAGAAAGAGGGAGGAACGAAATTCCATGTTAGGACTTTAGTTTACCAGTGATCTTTTCTATTTTCCAGGATGTCAAAAAAAGAAGAGAGGAGGTCACCAAGAAACATCAGTATGAAATTAGGGTAATGCAGAATTGGGCTGGGTGGTTTTGGGGGGGAAATGGAGGATAGACGAATAAGAATAGAATTATGTGTTTATTGCTTTTCAATAGATTCCTCTGACACTTTTAATGCCCCTAGAGGTCAGCAGGAAAGCGCTTATCTTTGAGGGGTTTGTATGTGCCCGAATCCTACTACAGCTGCAGAGTAAGTGCCTTCAAGCAGCTGGTTCCTTTTTGTAAATCCCTCCCTCTTGGAGCTGCCTGGTGCACCCGGGCCCGCCTAATCTATCCAATATACTGCTCTTTGTTCCCTCGCAGACTCTAGTAGACGGTCCTAATAGCTGCTTCTTGGGCATAAATAGGATGTGAGATCACTGACAGCCTGGCATGCAGCCCTTTGGTATCTCTTCTTCCTATGTGTTTTTGTACAGAAAGCACTTTGGAGATAGTGATTCCCTTTGAAACCAGCATTATTGGGAAAAGGATCCTTTAAGTAATTGGTTCCACTTGATTCCAGTTTTAAGGTTTTGCCTTCAAATATTCAAAAGTATCAGAGCCGACAACTTTTTTTTTTTTTTAAAAAGAGCTTTTTATTTTAAAAAGTCCCTGCTACCATTGTGAGATACAGAGAACTGCAATTCTATGATGTTGAAAGTGATTAGTATTTTAGACCACAGATGTATTTTATTACTCTCCTCCTTCAACACCTAGCGTCTTCTATTACCATAATTGCATTTTGTTGTCTAAAACATCCTGTTACTCTTTATAAAAATTAACATGAGCTATATGGGTTGTTTATAAAATATGAATGTCAAATTAGCTATATTGCCATCTATGTTAGCTAAAATTACAGATTCTTTAGATATATTAGCTTTTATTTATGAAAGATCCATGATGAAAACTAAGGTTTCCCTTGCACAAATTGATATTTTTCTTTTCTTTTTTTTTTTGACAGAATTGTTGGCCACCTGTATTATCTGGGGGGATCAGTCCTTGCATTCTCATTGAAACACCTCACAAAGAAATAGGAACAAGTGATTTCTCCAGATTTACAAATTACAGATTTAAAAATCTTTTTATTAATCCTTCACCTTTGCCTGATTTAAGGTAAGAAAAATTTCAGTAATTTTATTTCAAAGATACAAAATTGTGCTGATTTAATGTATGGCATTATTTTGTCTTTTGCTGTCATTATAAAATAGAAAAAATGTTGTAAAAACTGTTTACTAATATTTAATTAAGCCTGTATCATTTTATCTGATAGTAGGGCTGCTTGCAAATGATAAGGGTATTTAAAACACTGATTCTATAAAGTTATTTTTATTTGCTTGCTGAGTACTGTAAAGACTTAATAGGACTGAATTTTTTTGTTAGGATTGGAAGCATTTTTACATGTGCAGCTTTTTCCTTTAAATTTTTTATTCTTGTTTCTTGCAGTTTCAACTCAAAGGAAGCTTTTTCAATTAATCTATCAACCCTGTTTATTTCTTAGTAAGGTCTATGCTTTTTTTTCTAGTTCATGAGTATAACTAAGAGGTACAGCTTATACAAAACATGTAGTGTAATAATTTATGATTGGCCTTTTTTTTTTTTTTTTTTTTTT